GAAAATAACCTTGCGCTTTCCTGAGATAAAAAAAAACTCGTTCAATTCACTGCCTCGCATCTTAAAATTGCTATCATATTCAATGCTTGCCAACTTATATCGTTCCGAAGCAGAAAACTAATAAGGTTTCTCATCGCATGAAAGAAGGAGAAAACCCTGTAAACACACCATCATCATGTTGCAGTAATAATATTATTGAACGACTGTTAGTTGAAAGGTGACGACGAGGAAACATTTGGATGACATTTCAAGACATTCACCAAAAGGCGTAAGACAAACATATTTGACAAAGGTACATACCAATCTTTGTCTTAAATGTTCTGATATCTGGCTCACTTTCTCCGTGTATGTTGACAGCAAACAGTTTCACTTCATACTCCGAGTTATAGTCAAGCTCAGCAATATTGAAGTGAGTTTCAACAATATCTTCCCGTGAAACCCGCGGTTCTACAGATCCTGCGGTGGATTTCTTCCTCCATTCGAGGCGATATTTAATATCGTTACTGCTGTTGCTCTGTGGTGCTGACCAGTTTATGATAAACGGCACATCAACTTCATGCTGACCATCAGTTGTGATCTTTGGTTTCTCAGGCACACCTAAAAGAAGTAATTAACTTTAACTGATTAGTTGGAAAATCGAGAGCCCTATGGACTTTTTGAGGTCTAAACCTATTTCAGCAAAGACTGAGAGCTTGTAAAAAGGTACCTCCAAAATGATCTCTACCATTTACAAAGTCTGATTGGACCTGAGAACTTGTGGGAGGAACCTGTGAGTATATTTGTATAACTCTGTTAATATTTTAACAAAAGCCATACATTGGGTCCATGGAACGTTGGCAAACGCCTGTCGTTATCTTTTTTACCGTTGTTTGGGCCCACAGGGACGAGGTTTAAGAAGATTCATGGCCATATTACCTTGAAAATATAATTTAACCGTGTGATACGCGCTATTTGATTGGCTCTCGACTTCTTCGAACAGCTCGCGAATGAAACTTCATTTCGCGCCAATTCCGTGAGTACATCTGGGTAATTATATAAAATGTGGGGAGTTAAGACTGCACATACCTATTGCTGCCGCATCACACATACTTATGAGTCAGGCTTGTTCCGCAAGGGAAAGACTATTCAAGAATGTAGTGACCAATTGACAGAACCACCAATAGTAACAAATAATCATATTAACATAATTATAATTTTAACCTTGATTTTGCCAGTTAATTGAATTATGTACTTGTTTCATTGCAATTCCATTTTTGTGAGACTTTTGTTCCAGACGATGAGGTGGTCCGCGTTGTGAGTTATTCCACCGGCATTCCGCCCTTCCATAGGGTAACTGTAAAACTCAAGGTATCGTATCTCGGACCTTTCTCGCTTCGACAATTTAGCGGCTCTTTTGAGCATTTTTCGCTGATTCAAATGGTAAAGTGTTCTCTTTTGGAAAAGAGAAAAACTTTCTTTAAGCTTTCTACGATGTGCAGATCAAACCTATTCAGGAATTCCAATTTCGACGCTAATGTGAAATTATCTGAAATGTTTATCATCTTCTGTGTTGTTACGGCAAGAACTGAAAAAGTTTTATTTCCGGATTTACTGGGCATAATTCGCTGATACGAACGGTCAAATACTCACTCTTCAAAACAAAAATTTTTCCTTCAAGTTTGCTCGATGTGCCGATCACACCTTTTAACACATGTCTGCAAGTGAAAGCTTTGTTTTTTCAAACGCTATCCTAAAATAATTGAATGTGAGATGTTTATCTTTTTTAAAAGTAGTCCGAAACAAACAATACGTAGCATCGGGAAACCGTATGATCACCCACTACTTCCGAGTAACGTCCGCAGGAATCCGAAGAAATCGTCAGCAAGCGTTGAACGACGGAAGATGTCCCGAAACAAAGCCGAGAGCGGGGAATATTTAGTAAAACTCGGCAGACTTCGCTGTGAACTAAGAGGTCGTTCGTACTCTATTGCTGCACTCACTCAACACGACAACTTTATGGCTTCGCCTCCGTAGGAGGCAGCGGCCACAAAAACTGGCAAACATTACTTCCCCGCTGTTGTTCCAGGAATTTTTGAGCTGTCGTTATTCTCATGCCAGGTTTCAGTTCCTAATCATGAGCCGAGTGGCACAATAAAGCTGACTAACATATTAACATTTATACACCAGTGTTTTTACCATGTTTCTATGGGTAGTGAGTAAGTAAATATTGGTTACTTACGTAGCAGTTTCATTTTTTGTCCACGGTTCTGTCGATCAATATCTCCATCAACATCTCTATCAATATCTCCAAGCACCCTTTCCAGAATTTTGTCTTTTGTACACCCCAAATGCACTACTTCCACTATGCTACACACTATAAAGAAGGCATGGATTACAACAACAACGACATTGAGACGAGATTTTCCCTTGTAAAGACCATCTCTACATTGCAGTGTGAATTTTGTTTAGTTGAGAGCACTCCTGATTGAGCTTTGAATGCTGGTCTGAGAGGTGTTGGGAATGTTGCATTTGGACACTGAAGGTAGATAAATTGTCTGGCAACTGCAGAACAGCCAAAGCATGACAATTAGGAAAATTATTCGAAAGAATACATGGATACAGTAAATGCAAAGAAATTTCTGTTTCTCTTTTTCATTGTCCTCCTCAGTACTTTGATATTCTTTGATTTTTCGAAGGGTCACAGTACCATAAATTGCGAAGGCGAGCCAACATACACTCAAAACACCGATGGTTATGGAAAAAACAGTCAGTGGTATTAAGCCAAATTTGCTAACTGTGGAAATATAGTTGTCGTAGCAAATTTGATTGAAATAATCATTGAGTTTAGGATTGCAGCTGAAATTAAATCTATCATTAACATGATAGATTTGTAGAGAGGTGAAAATGCCGATAGAAGACAAGGCAAAAAGAATACACTGAAATCCTCCAACAGGGGTCTGTGTTTTAATAGCCACTTTGCACCACGCGCTACACTCCATCAATGCATATGGTAGCAGTACCTAAAAGGAGCATAAAAAATTATGATAAGTGACGCACAAAATAAGTTGTATTAATTTGCAAATTTAATGAAATTGGGAAGAAGCAAATTTTCGTGAGGCAAGGCTCTGATATTATTACTCGGGCTTCAGCAGGAAAGCCCGAGTCTGAAAATGCAAGCCGTTTTGGTCGCCAAAAGGGGAGTCATGGTCCCACGCGTTCCTTGCGTAAACGGCGGAAAATGGGTATAAGAGTGGGACAATTTGTATTATTGTGAGCTCGCTCTTCGTAAACAACGTAATTTACAGAATGCTGTGTTTTGTGAAGACCGCTTTGTAAAGATTCCTGTCTTATCAGCTCATCCCACATGCAAACACACACGCCGTTCGTGGTAGGCCCACGCAAAATGATGTCGAGTGTTTTCGGAATGGGCCGGTCCACGAACTTGATTGCTTGAAAGCTAGCCAAATGCGAAAAGTTCATACTAGTTCTCACGAGATAACAAATGAGCCATATGTGAGTTCAAACTACGAAAATACTGGCAAAACTGTGACGGCCGATTTAAAAACAAACTATGATGCTGAGACGAACACCTCACTTCCTGAAAAAATCAAGAACGTTCGTGAACACAACCTCGAAGGTGGCGCTGACAAGAGTGAATTGGATAAGGATAATGACAGAAGCA